CACACAGCTGGGTGAATCTTGACAGTAATGTCGGGATCCGTCCTGGCTGCGGCGGTCTCAGCTGTAGCTCGCGATATACTGAGCTTTGGGTCACGGGAGGACGCTAGTATTTGTCCTCCTGTTACCCTTAAGAGAACTATGGGGGAAAACACTGACCCCGTAGTTCTCTTTTAACTGCTAAAGAAGGAGGACATGTTAACACCCAAGATTCTAAATGAATCCTCTACACGCTGCTATACTCCATATCACACTTCTAGCAAACTTTGCATAATAACAGAGATCATTGCTTCCCATATACAGTACTTACTCTCATACAAAGCTTGCTACAAGTGTATTCCGTGTGCACAGCCGCGTGCAGAGGGTACTGTGAGAATCTTGGGTACCAGCTGTGTGGTCAGGATGTTCCTCAGCTAGCGGATATCTATAACAGACAACTGAAGAGGAACAAAGCTTTATATAGACAAAGTGAGAAGTTCTGTCAGCCTGTAAAACATATAGTTCAGCTTTGTGGGCACTGATATCACAATGTTTTTATTTCATTGTTTCATATGATTATCATACAGTATATCATAGATGGCATTATACACGGCCTGGCCAAAAAGTCACACCCCCTAATATTTCATTGACTTTGATTACGGCACGCATTCGCCGTGGCATCATTTCGATAAGCTTATACAATGTCACAACATTTATCTCCATTCAGAGTTACATTCATTTTTCCCCAAGACCCTGTAGTGATGATGGAAGAGTCAGACCTCTGTGTAAAGTCTTCTCCAGCACATCCCAAAGATTCTCAATGGGGTTCAGGTCTGGACTCTGTGGTGGCCAATCCATGTGTGACAATGACGTCTCATGTTACCTCAACCACTCTTTCACAATCTGAGCCCGATGAGTCCTGGCATTGTCATCATGGAATATGCCCAACATGCCATCAGGTAAGAAATAATCCATTGATGGAAAAACCTGATCATTCAGTATATTCAGGTAGACAGCTGACCTCATAACGTTGCTGAACCGAGACCTGACCGACTGAAGCCACCCCAGATCATAACACTTATCCAATGGAAGGCTCTGACCCATCTGCTATTAGCTGAATGCAGGCGGTGACCAAATCCCACCGAAACGCGTTGGCTGTATCTGACATTTCCATTCAAACAAACCTTTAGTAGGTGCTCCTTACCCTGCAGGATCCAGGATCTGATGATAATAAATGTGTCACTGTCACTGTACCATGCACGGGGCTTTTTCCTTCTCTTCAAATAAACATTATTGGCAGGGCCAAATACAAAGTTTAAAAGAAACTATTTTTTTTTAGTGCTCGGGGTGGAAAGTACGATATAAAATATAATAAGTTAATAAAATGTTTATGAGGAAATACAAAGTATATGTATAAATTAGGGATGCACCAATGCCAGTGCTTCCGCTGGCATGGAGCTGGCTTCCCGGGCACTCTGATTGCCCGAGAAGACGGCTCAATGTTGTCTGGCCGGCTTAATTGTGCTTGGTCGGGAAACCAGCTTCCCAGCCAATCAGCATCAAGCTGGCTTCCGGGCCAGTCAGGAAGCCAGGTGGTGAGTAATGACCCAGCTTGTTGATTGGCTGGGAAGACGGCTTTCCAGCCATTCAGCATCGAGCTGGCTGGTCGGCCAGCTCGGTGCTGATTGGCTGGGAAGCCAGATTCCCAGCCAATCAGCAAGGAGTTGGCTGTTCGGTGCTGATTGGCTGGGAAGCCGGATTCCCGGCCAATCAGCAAGCAGTCGGCTGTTCGGCCGGCTCAATGCTGATTGGCCAGGAAGCCGGCTTCCCGGGCTAATCAGCATGGAGCTGGCTTCCTTCCAATCAGTAAGCTGGGAGGTGGGTCAAAACTCACCGCCCCGCTTCCTGATCGCATAGGAAGCTGGCGCACGGGTCCCCTACGGCACTGCCGGCCAGAGAAAATCTTCCTCTGACCGGAAGTTCCGGTATCTGGGAAGGTATCGGAGCATTTGGGCGAGTACAAGTCCTCGCCCAAATACTCGGTTTCGGCATCGGTAGTATCAATATTGGTGCACTGCATCCCTAGTATAAATCATACGGTATATCCATAAACAAGTCAAGGGAAGCGCTATCTGTATCAACAATCAGCTTCAACTACAATGGAGGCCTTGCAGCCAATTGAATCAGGAGAGGAGAGGAGCTCCAACGTCCTATTCAGCTGTTGCCACCATCAGGAAGCCAGCCCAGAACAATGATGTGGAGCCAACGTTGGCGTAGGCGCATGTAGACAGGAAGTGGCTGAAAGAGGCTGCAGAAGATCAGTAGCACTGAGATGCCAATAGAGGATGAGGGGGAAAAAAAGTAAAATAATATTTTATTTAATAAAAGGGGCAATTGTTTGTGCCGCAGAGTACACCGAGCAAACTGAACGTTGCCCGGTTATGGGTTACATCGGATTTACATATCACTAGAGTCACATGTTTTCCTTTTCAATCTGATAAAGCCAACTGTAGACAGGTAATCAGGGTGTAGCCGGGTTCACAGATCCGTCTGATAAGAACTGACAGCACTTTGAGAATTATACCCACTGCCAGTCTTCTGTGTGAGCGCCAACCGCATTTCCAGGAACAAACAGGATGCAAATACACAAATGTGTGAAAAGTCTCCCTTCCTCTTTTAATGGCAGCCCAGAGCAGCCAGTCCTATCACTAGATCTATAACTGGGCAGAGATCCAGCACCTTCCACAGAACCTTCGGCTTCTGATAATGTCAAATAAAATATAAAGGTCAAAAGTGTATCCAAAAAGACTTTAATGTTGGATACAAAGGCAGCCAAACATTTCAGTATCTGATGTAGATAAACATCACGATATCTCCGGGATGTGAGAAAGTTCCAGGACCTCGTCCGGCATGCCGCGAGCTGTTGGCGTTGGCAATGCGTAGTAGAGTAACGTTCCCAGACTTGGCGTGAGAACGTTTATCTACGTTGCAGTTGTGAACTAGGAGCGCGTGGCTGTGTGCTGTCTTAGTCCTGTGGGCTGACAGCTGCAGGTTTCAGGATTGGGAACCAATCAGCGTGCTTCCCGATCATGTGATCTCCATGGCAGGCTTATTAGAAGTCAGTGTACCACCCTCTACAGCCTGCAGGTGGCGCTGTGCATCTCTCTGTGCACAGAGAAAGAGGTACAGTGTTACCAAAAAAAAGTAAATTAAAGTTTTTTTGTGTTTTTATTTTTTATTTTTATAAAACTGTTATTTGTAAAATATACAAAAATGCATTTCTGTATTTCTGTTCACATTTTATTCTGACTGTCAGTTTACAATAAAGTAGTGCTGCACAAGCTACATACAGCACAGTGATGATGTCACCGCTACTCATACAAGGTAATACCCGGGTTTGCAAAGGCATTGGGTGCTTACAAAGTGGATTTATATCCTTTGTGGCTATTGAGGAATATACTCAGATGGAAGGTTTTGTGCTCGGAGTTCAGCTGTAAAGTTTTAGGCCAGGTTCACACCTTGCGCGATCCGTGACGATACCACGCGGATTGCCTTTGCGGTCACAGAGTTGCCCACCACCGCCGATCGCGCTGGCGGTGCCGTTATTTTATAATGGCACCCCAGTTGCGTCGGTTTCCCGCCACGATTCCACCCGTGCAATCTTACACGTTTGCGGCTAAAACAGCCACGTGTCGCAAAAAAAGTACATGTACCTTTTAGATGCGATTGCCGCGCATTGCCGTTTGCTTAAAGGAGAACTCTGAGGTGAGTAATTTTCACTCAGCCTCATAGTTCTAGCCGACCTGTGACAATGAGACTGTCACAGGTCAACTCAGTAGATCGGGAAGTGAGCGAACACATACCAGCGCTCGCTCACTTCTCGATCCTGTGCCGACAGAGAGTCGTGACAGGGGAGGGGCTGGATTCCCTTCTAGATAGGCAGAGCCAGCTGTCAATCACGCAGCTGGGCGGATCTCGACAGTATTGTCTGCATCCCTCCCAGCTGCAGTGGTCTCAGTATACTGGGAGCTATAGCTCGCTGTATACTGAGCTTTGGGTGACGGGAGGACGCTAGTTTGTGTCCTCCCGTTACCCGTTAGAACTATGGGGAAAAGCCCTGACCCCCATAGTTCTCCTTTAAATGCCACCCTAACACACCTCCCGGTGGCAACATGCAGAACCGCAATATTATGCATTGATGCATTGCGGGGGGGGGCGATCACTAGACGATCTGTGCGATAGCATGCACTAAACGCGTGGTAATGTGTGCTTAGTGCAACATTCTTGTGGGAATGAGTCCCTAAAGCCCTGCGCTTTGTATGGGTCTACCAAGCCTTATTGCCACCTGTGATGGGGTAGGGTGCTAGTGGTTCTCACCGATACCGAAAATACCACCGAATCAGTGGGGTGAGAATGTGCTAGTGGCGCACCTTATTGGTGGTGGTAATGGGGTGCTGGTGATGCCGACCTCTGCAGGCTCTTAGCAACCTGGGATGCTCTGCCTGGTATCCCAGCCAGTCACTGGATGCTAAGAGCTGGGTGGGTATGTATGGGCCCTTAACATCTCCCCACCCAGCTCCTGACAGCCTGGGACGTTCTGGTCATAAAGAGGGCAGCAGGCACATTGTGCAGCCCGCCGCCCCCCAACATGGCCCAAAGAGATGATGCTGCCTGGGGCAACAGCCTCAGGCTGCCTCATCATAAGGACAGCCCTGGCGCTATGCTAAGTATGTGTATTGACTTGCATTCTATTTTGAAAGTAACAAAAACTATAAAATAAAAAATAAAATCAGGATGGAATCCCCGGGCCGGTCCAGGAAGGAATCAGTATCAAAGAATCCACATTCTGTAATCTGCTACAAAGTATCTCTTTCCCTTCTCTGGGACATCCTTCATTGTGATGGCTCCTCAGATGCTGCTGAATGAAGAGAAGCCATCAGCCGCTGTGTGTCACAGGAGGAGGGACGGCTCAGGCTCAGGGTGGAGGGACTTATAGTAACACTTCCCCTGGCACTGAAGACAGAGAAGTAATCTGTGACCAGACAGACAAGAGATAGCCGGGCAGACTGGAGGACTCCACCAGGATGCTTCAACCGTCCCATCTCACCAAGGTACCATCCCAGGCTCACCCAGACCCCCAAAATATTCTACACAAACCTGCCAATCATCATACTATCTGAATCCTTCCTGCATGAAATAACCCAACGATCATTATCTGTCTATTACTGCTGTGTATGCTTCTGTTTCTGGCAATGAGGATCCATCTGTTTTTTTTTTAATTGCCCGTTCACGCCATTTGGGATCTTCTTTGCAGATAAGCGCACTGTGGCGATTTTTCCGCCGCTCAGACATCATCTAGATGGGATTGAAAATCCCTGCACTTGAAGTATATCTAATGCTAGAACACTACGTTTAGTTTGGGATCAATGGGGGAAAGGGTAAGCCCTTTTTATCGCTGAAAATCTCCAACAGCCAAAAAGAATGGAACGGTGGAACGGGTGCTCGGCCAATGGCGGCACCACCGAACATCGGACAAATCCAGCACAGCGAATGCAAACGCAGCGCTTTTTGCTTTGTTTTTGTAGTCCCATATAGAACACAACCGGCGTTTTGGAGAAATGCAGATCGCCCTTATACAAGATACCTGAATAAGGGTGACCTGGGTGGCTCCGCTCCCCGCTGGAGGGATTCACCCCAAATTGAAGGATTCACTCACTTTAATTGTTCTGGTGACCATTGCCACTGGGACAGAATGTAATTGGAAAATACAAACTTTCCCAGGAACAGTAGGGATGCATGCTCCGGTCACTAGGAGGGGATTCCCCCTTACTTTGGTGATTCCCTCTCGGTTTTAGAACGAGAAGTGATTGGAGATCTCCCCAAAGACACAAAAAGTTATAGAGGTGGTTGAACTTTATAGGCATGTGGTCCGTTATCAAGCAAGTTTTGTATTTACTTTGATTGATTTAGAAAATTGGTAGGGATTGTATAGATCTGGTCATGTGTGTGTATGATCCATGTAAAGTCTGTGAATGGTCTGTGCATGCTCAGTGTATGGTCTGTGTATGGTTTATATAATGTCTGTGTATGGTCTGTGTATGGTTTATATAATGTCTGTGTATGGTCCGTGAATGGTCTGTGTATGATCTGTATATTGTCCTTATATGCTCTGTGTATGGTTTGTTTATTGTCTCTGTATGGTCTGTATATGGTCCATGTATCGTCCGTGTATGGTCTGTATATGGTCCATGTATGGTCTTTGTATAGTCTGTGTATGGTCCATGTACGGTCTGTGTATGTTCTGTATATGGTCTGTGTATGTTCTGTGTATAGTCTGCTTATGGTCTGTGTATGGTCTGTGTATGGTCCGTGTATGGTCTGTGTATAGTCTGCTTATGGTCTGTGTATGTTCTGTGTATAGTCTGCTTATGGTCTGTGTATGGTCTGTGTATGGTCCGTGTATGGTCTGTGTATAGTCTGCTTATGGTCTGTGTATGTTCTGTGTATAGTCTGCTTATGGTCTGTGTATGGTCTGTGTATGGTCCGTGTATGGTCTGTGTATAGTCTGCTTATGGTCTGTGTATGTTCTGTGTATAGTCTGCTTATGGTCTGTGTATGGTCTGTGTATGGTCCGTGTATGGTCTGTGTATAGTCTGCTTATGGTCTGTGTATGTTCTGTGTATAGTCTGCTTATGGTCTGTGTATGGTCTGTGTATGGTCCGTGTATGGTCTGTGTATAGTCTGCTTATGGTCTGTGTATGTTCTGTGTATAGTCTGCTTATGGTCTGTGTATGGTCTGTGTATGGTCCGTGTATGGTCTGTGTATAGTCTGCTTATGGTCTGTGTATGTTCTGTGTATAGTCTGCTTATGGTCTGTGTATGGTCCATGTAGGGCCAGTTTATGTTCTGTATATGGTCCGTGTATGTTCTGTGTAGGGTCCATGTAGGGCCAGTTTATGTTCTGTGTATGTTCTATGTATGGTGCATGTAGGGCCAGTTTATGGTCTGTGTATGGTCCGTAATCCCTCATCTGTAACGGGACGGCCTGCCTGGAACACAAGATTCAATTTGTGGCTGGTGGAGGTTCCTATCTGGCGCTGGCTTGGCTTTTTGTGGAATTGTGTATAGTCTGTTTATGACCCCCATGTATGGTCCGAATCTTGTAGTGCCCCTTTAGACCTATGCTTGCAGTAACAGGCGGCACCTTGTGTAGTGCATTGCAGTGCCATTCATTTAAAATGGCACCCAACACGCAGGTACAGTAGGTGCCAACAGACCCGCATTCATCACAAGGCAAAGCTGTTTTTATTGGTTTGCTGTGTTAAAAATGCTGCTGGTCCAGTTTTTGGTTCCTCGATGCATTGCAATGGATCATAAAGGTCTGATGGGGGTTTAAGGATTTCACATTGCCCAAGATAAAGCCTCGAGGGGACAAACTTTGAATGTTTGGCCAGCTCTAGTACACGGAATTCCCTTTTTGTTGCCTTTCATCATACACACTGAAATCAACATATTGGGTGCCATGATGTAGTCAACATGGAGTTGAATTGAAGCTGCCAGGATAGAACTCTGCCATTGCTGATGTGTTTAATAATGGCTGATGGCTTAACTACCTAGTGAGTAGATGACCTGAAAAAAAGCAAGAAACGTGGGGATTCAAACATTCCTGGCTTCACTGGATACTAGGGTTGCCACCTTTTCTTCCAGCGAAACCCGAACACTCTAGCGACGCACGGACATTTTTTTGGGGGAGAATGAGTTCTGGTTTATTCATAAGTAAATAGCACCTCCCATTCATATGTAAATATCACAGTCGACACTATTTTCAGTGGGGGGCCAGTAGCCCCTATCTTAATTTTGGTTACCCCTGTCTGCCTGACATCTTGTGTCCGGGTCTCAGCTGCCATGAAACCTGGACACAGCATTCAAAACCCGAACTGTCCAGGTGAATCCTGGACAGGTGGCAACCCTACTGGATACATGCCAAGTGAAGATGTACACATGGATACATAACAAGCCAGGTTAAGCAGACCATGTCAGGTCTCTATACAATTAAAAAACACGAGTTTCCTGCTGTAGAAGAAAGATTCTACCTCCCTCTTTAATGGCCTGTGTCACCTTCCTTTGCTCAGTTCCAGTGCTGTCTGTCTCTTTGTCATTTGGTGCTTCCAGTAGTGTTGGATGCATGTCCCCCCCAAGCGCGCTGTGGTTTTTTTCTTTCAAGCCCTACATCATAGAGGACTCAGCAGTGACTTAGGGATTGAAGGACTGAACCAAAGCACATGGTGGGGGACACAGATAGCCAATGCTCTCAGCAGTGTCAAATACACAAGAGTCTCAAGGAGGCTGCAGTGATGGCAGGAAAAACAGGTCTCTGCAGAGGTGAATGTCTCTTCTAGTGCAGGGTCACCAAGGCTTGTTAATACCTATTGCCAACGCATGAAAATGCATCAAAACCAGGGGCGTAACAAAAGCCATAGCAGCCCCTGTGGCTGCTATGGGGCCTGGGGGTGGAAGGGAGCCCCATGAATGATTGCTGAAGTTGCTGTTGACCCCGTACCCCTTATGGGATTTCCAATCAAGAAGAGTTGATATCAGATGTACAGGAAGAGACTATGCAGACAGCTTTACTGCTACCTGTCCTTGATTTAGATTTTAAAGGGTTTGCAATGGGGCCCTATTAAAATTTTGCTATCGGGCCCCATAATCTGTAGTTACGCCCCTGATCAAAAGGTATGTTATATGAGGTGAACAGACACTATGTTATTATAGAGGAACCTGGACACATGCATTTTAGCGCATTGCAATGCATGTGTTAAAGTGTAACAGTATAAATTGGCCTTGAAAAGGAAGAAACGCGACATATTAGAATTATTTTTCCCCCCCTCCATTCTGTTTAATTAAATACACGAGGGCGAGTCAAAAATTATCCGCACCCTGGCTGTAGAATTTATTTTAATCAGCTTTTAGAAAAGACAAACACATAATTTTTCGACGTAATCTCCTCGCTTTGTCCATCTGTCAACAAGCTTTCCTATTCCCTCATTCAAAAATGTTTTAGGCTGAGCTGCGAGCCACGAATGCCCCGCTGTCTTCACTTCTTCATCAGAGGGGAATCTTTGTCCTCGTGGGTGAAAGTCTGATAGAGCAAGATCAGGGCTATAGGTGTACGCTCAATGTTGTCCTCAGCGTGGACGGGCGTCCGGCTCCGTCTTGATGGCTAACACTTGTGCGACCTTCCTTGAACTTCTCTATCCATCCATATACACTTCTTCGCGACAAAACACTTTCTCCATACTGCGCACAAAGTCTTCGATAAATACGAAAACGAATCCTGCGCAATGCTCTTCTTTCGTTCAAATCACAAGTGGGGCGTCCATTTTTTCTCGCACCGCAGTTACAAATGAACTGATGTTCAACACACCTGCACAGCACTGACTGTGGAGACAGCAGCCTTGAACGGAAAGCGCTAATAAGACAGTGTCCTAATGTCAGTGTCAGCTGTTATACGAGGTCGGTATTTGAAATTATAATGACACCTGACACTGACTCCAGTGGGGTATTTTGGAGCACCCAAGTTGAGTCACATAGGTAGGTCATGAGATAGGGAATGACTGCTTCTATCAGAAGCTTCTCATAAAGGTGCTCTACTCTGTGTCATCTCAGCCTAATAGGACATTAGAGATACTTGGTGCAGCTGAGCCCCGGCGTTTGTTTTCCTGCATGCTGAATGCGTATAAAACCCGGACATGGAAACTTTTTTTTTGTTGTCATTTATTTAATCAGAATGGGGAAAAAATATTTTATTATTTGTCGGGTTGCTTCCTTATCAGCATGAAAGGAAGGGAAAAAATGCCCACACATGAATCCCTTTCCTGATAGATTTCCTGAGCTTCGATCAGATGAGCGTAAAATCAGGTTAAAAAGCGCGTGGGCGCCAAATCTCAGCAGCTCACGGCTGTTTTTTGTTCAGAGATTGGTTATTGTTACAATGTCCCTGCTTGTATATACCTGGAATATATATCTGTAATATTCCGGATCTTTTCTTATAGTGCTCCGTTCACACACACAGGCACTGCGGCAGTGAGTGTGATTTATCTATTATTTATTT